TTATGATCTGTAGTCTTTCCATACCTGCTTTGGTGCCTTCTTTTGATAACTAAATAAACCACACAGGACTGTGTCTAATTTCGACATATTCAAAGTGTCTTTGTCTTGCTGGTCTTAAATTATGTTTGAGATTTATAGCATGAAACCAACACAGATTTTTGGCCCCTGGAACGATGATGTGACCGCAGCCCACCCCTCTTGGGAAGGAATGTCTTTGTGTTGGGTGGCGTGAAGGGCATTTGGGGGTAATGTACCACTTTAGCTGTATGTGCATGTGTTCTCTGCTGCAGGCTTGTCCATGCGATCGTGCCTGGAGCACTCTGGTTTCCAGGTGACAGACACGATTCACGGTATAGTATGAGTCCTCTGAAGTCGGAGCATTCTCTACAGCTTTAATTGCCTTCTTTTAGTTCTTGGTTTCAAGAAATGCTTTTTAAAAAGAAAGTTGTAATGCTTTTGTTAAGTAGCACCAGCTACAGTTTGTGCTGTGTTTAAAGAGGTACAGTGATTAAGATGTCAGAATGTTACATATTGAATATACTACTTTTTGTTTGGGGATGGGGTTTTTTTGTTTTTGCCCAAGGCAAATCAGATCCCCTTCTTCTGTTTCCTCAGTAGAAAATGACAGACATTTAGTAATTTTAGAAATTTATGGGCCTCAACCTGAGAGATCAGTTGAAGTGTTCACTTTCTTCCTTCACACCACTTTGAGCGTTGTAAGGAAACACCATGAATGTGTGGACATTTTGGTCAGAGTTGGAAACCGACTTTCTTTCTTGTCCAGTCAGTAGCACCCTTTCTCAGCCTCTGCTGGGTCCCTGATGGCTTTATCAAGCTCGTCTCTGCTGACCTGCGAGGAAGCACGCACAGGCTGGAGAAGCCAGGGCACTCTCCCTGGAAGCCTTGGGCTGTTTATGCGAAGGTACTTTCACCTCTGACACCTCAGGAGCCCTGGGGCAGCAGGTTACCCTGGATCAGACATCAATTTTGGGAAGGTCCTGAAAGGAGTCTTCTTTACCAAGACTTCTACTCACCTGTCTTTACTGGCGTAGTCTGTAGAAGTTCTAGTCTACTGTTGATGTTCATCAAGTCATCCAATTTTGCAAAGTTCAAAAGGATCAAATTGTTGTAGAATGTTCCTTGGGATAATTAAAGTACAAATGACATCTTGATAGCTATATGCCACTTCATGCCACTCGGACTAATTTATTTACATACACACATACATAGACTCTGGGGAAACCAAGTGCTGCTCGGTTTAGTCTCACAAATGTTGTGGCTGTATTAAAGTAGTCTAGTCATAAAGCTAGTTCCCTCATCATTAGAGGAACCTTTTATTAAGAACTGGCCCATGATAAGAGCTTATCTTGCCCAGTGGCTTAAAAACTTTAAAGAAATAAACTGGTTAGATTGTGAAACATCAGGTAACTTAAAGTAGAACATTTTTAAAACCTAAAATTACATATGACAAAATTCAATCAAATGGTTTTTCTTCATCTTAGCCCTTAAAGATGTCTTATTACCAATGGATTTTCATCTTTGCAAATCACGAAGCAGAACATTAAAGTTCAAAAGCCTTTTAAACACTTTTTGAAGTATGGAAGTATGTAAAGTAAAAAATGAAAGTCCTCTATTATTGCTACCACTTAAGTCTGTTTTCTACATCACAGTCTAATGAACACGTAGATTGTGATGAATACTTACAGGTTCTCTTGAAAACCAAAATAGGAAGCAAAGAATGAGGAAGGTGGGAGGAAACCACTGGCAGTATGTTTTTAATGATCGCTCGGTGTCGTCTTTTTTTAATCCTACTTAAAGGGTACAGTTCAGTGATTTTTTTAGTATATTCATAGAGTCGGGTGTCTTAGTATATTTGATGCATTATGACTCCTTAAGTCTTGAAATTTCAGTGTTTCTTTTATAAACTGTTTATTATGAAGAATTTCAGATGTAACAAAAGTAGACCAGAGGTGTGTAATGAACCCTGATCGCTCAGCATCCATCTTTCCCTCTGACTGGTCTTCTTTCATCTTTGCCCCCTTTGTTCTCCAGGGTGGTTCTGGAGCAGATTCCAGAGACCATACTCTTTCTTACATGGATGTTTCAGTCTGTATCTAAGGCGATTTTTATTCAATAACCCATGTTCAAATTTCCAATAAATGTAAAAAATTTTCAGTTTTATTTGATAACTTATGAAAGTTTTTCTGAATGCAAATTGGCAAAAAATTTGAAGTCACATTAAATTTTTTACAATATTTGTGCCTCTGAAGCACCCCCCC